GATTTATAGCAAATACTTCATGAACATCATGCAGTATTTGTGCTTATATCATCGGTTGTTCAAAACTGCGTTGGATCGTATGCCAAGTGATGATTAAGTATGAAGTCGTGATTATAGCAGATAAACGACCCGCTGGAACACACGAACTACAGTTCAACGCTTGTACAATAGATGAAGTCGCAATTATTGTTCTAAGGTGGTACGAAGTTCGCCGGGTCAGCTAGTATGAAAATAAAACATTTTTCTCCTCCAAAGTAGAGACTACTGTTTTATTGATCTTTATCAACTACGTGCAGTACGAAAGCTTCTTCTACCTCCATATCTGAGTGTTCATTTGTTTCAGATTCATCGACGTCAACACGGATTACTTTCCGTTTTTACTGTGAAATATTCTCTTATCCTATAGTGTGTATTTGGCTGGTCTGCCCATTTTGATGAACATGCAGTATTATAGGATTAAGTATTACAAGCACATTGCCGCGCGAAACATGTTAACGCAATAAATTAAAAAAATACGATCGACATAACCTAAAAATTTAATTTTGCACCAGTGGTAATAAAAATATTTTATACATACCGTTTAATACGGTTGGTATTATACGGCCTGCATTATACACTCACATCACCAGTACAGACACGATGAGTCTTCTGATGAAGACGATATTTGACTTTTTGTGTTAATTTTTGTCATGGCACCTATTGTAAACAACACATTGTTACGCGCATGTGGACGGTGGAAATTGTTTACTCGATTTTGCATTTTACCTACAACAATATATAACTGCTTGAGAAACAACTTGTTGTCAAATTTCGGGTTTCACTCCGACAGCATAACGCAAACTATCGGTGGTGGAAAAAAGAGACAATGAGTTTTAGGATATCATGGAAAAATTAGAACAAATGGTCTGTAATCTAATCATTCCCGCGATCCTGCGTCTCGCAAAGCTTCTTTGTGTGGCTGTGTGCCTACGTTTTAGGAGACTTTTCTTAATCTATGATTTAAATTCTAATTATTCAAATGTGTTGTACTTAATTTCTTTGCGCACAATTTAAATTTGAATCGGGATTTACAGTAATAGGAAAGGAAAAAATAAATGAAAATATTGTCATCGTGAAAAAATTATTCTAACTGAAGTTAATGTTCAAATTTAAATAAACATTCAGACGTTCTTTCGTGAATGAGGAAAAAATTTTTAATAAAACCGATTCATCAAATATTGAAGACTTGAACAACTAACTCAAAAATTTAGTTCCACGCAATATTTTCATATTTAAGATACGATTCTGAATATTTGAAGACATGCCGAATCCGATTATTTCTTGATAAATCATATAGAACACCCGGTAATTCGAGAATTAATTTATTTATAACTCATTTCCAACGCGATGGTGGAGGACTCAGCCTAATTACTCAATTTCAAACTTTTTAAGGGTTATTAAGCATTACACGTGTTTATTTGTAAATTACTAACACCCACTAAACTATAAGTATACTAGAGCAGGCGTTCATCCTTAAAATTAAGGTGACTCGGACGTCTCAGGGAGTTTGGGGACAACTGTCCTGTGAAATTAGGACTAGTATAGATTTTAACTGCGGCGCAGTTAACATATGACTCATTCATTTCGAAAAATGTTGAAATATTTTTTTAGAAAATTGACTCTTACATTACATATACCTAATATTTGGTGTATTTCAAAAGTGAGGAAAATATTGCGCAAGTAGCGTTACAAAATACTTGTGTCGTCATTTTTCAGTAAAAAATTATAAATATTTTTCACAACACTGACAATAAAACTTCATATACTTACTTATATGCATTTCACTTACCTTAATACTTTACTTTGTTGCAATTTTTTTGCTTTCATATTTTCTCGATGGGTCATGAAGTCATGAGTTCATGATCCCTAAAACATGGGTCTTACGTTTCCGTCTGTCTGTCTGTTTGTTCACCATCTGTGTCAATTGTAGTTGGACAGATAATCTCCGAAACTGCAGGACTGATTTTTTTCTAATTTTATATGTGAGGCACGACTGCACGAATGTCATGTAGATGGTGTAAACACTAATCAAGCTTTGTCTAATCATTCCCACCAACAATGTGATGACATCACCTCAAAATTGTACATAGTAAATGGGTTTTGAATTCCATCAAATAACATAGTCGTACACGTGTAGTTTATGAATCCGCGTTGAGTTTTTAGCCGAAACGTCAAGATTTTTGAAAAAAATTCAAATTAAATAACAAGACTTTGCAATTTTGAATCCCCGAAACCGAATACTTTGAAATCTTGCAGATATTGTAAAGTTATCATAAGCATCGTACATTTTTAACCAAAATATATTTGCTTATCGGCACCCAAAAAATTTATGACGTTTCAAAATTTTGTCGAAGAAATCCTGTCTTAATTATGCAAAATATCATTCTATACTTGCAATTTATCACTATATTCATATTTTTTGTATTTGGTTATGTAAGTGGCACAAAAAAAAATGAATGAATGAATCAATTTAATACATTGATTAAATCAAGAACGGCTCACTCTATTTTTCCAAAAATTTGGGAATATAATACTGTGTTTATTAGGATATTAAACCGTACCGATCCAAGTTAATACACTTGTCCCTGCAAGAATGTTCATGATGTCATCACAAAATTTTGTGAATTAAAACCTCATTTGAAACATAGCACGCTGCTTTACATTTACTATAACATTACGTATTTATATATTTTATTTCCACTTAAAGGGATTTATTATTTAATTTTATAATTTTTCGAAAATGCTGGATATGTGAGGGAACTTCTGTGGAAAAAATTTTCGACCAATTTCTTTTGGTCTGTTGTATGCTGAAAAGTGTTGTTGAGATTTCACTATTACATGGAATCAAGGCATTTTCCTCATTAAATCTATGAAAAAGATGATTCAGTGGAGTAAACAGGTTTGCGGGTTCACTAAAAACAGGATAACGACATGGTGAAAGTGAATACAGTATTCAACTTAAGGATATTCTATATTCTATATTCACAGAAAGCGGAAACGATGGTATGTTTAAATTGTAAAATCAGTTTGACTTAGGTACTAAAGTTTAATTCATAGTGATTAACGGTTTTAGAACAATTTGACTTATAACAATTTGACTTATGAATTATGACTAGAAAGAAGATTAACAAAATTTGAACAAGAAGCATCACTGTCACTAAATGGAGAAAACGATTTCTGCTGCGCAGGTTCACCAAAATGTACAGAACGTGTGTTTTGTTTAGTAAAGGTGTATCGCATTGTTCTATCTTTGTTTATTATAGATGTACATCGCATTTCTTAAAATAGACTTTGTCGTCACTTATTTCATACACACATTTTCACCGTTCTAACCGCTCTAACCATAAAAAAATCCAAGTTCTACGGTTTGTTGTGACATTGTTTCTGGAGGTTAGGTTACAGGTTAGTTTAGAGCTAAGGTACAGACAGACACATGCGTATTTTATTATTTAATCTTATTAACTAAAAATGAGAAATTAGAAATGCGGAATTGTTACTATCCATCGGTGTGAGTTCGCAGTAAAGAAATACGCAGTGGACTTAAGGTATTTAGCGTATATTAAGACAGTAACAAACAAGTGTTCTTTATAAGTTATTCCCACGAACTAAAAAGCACTAATGTCTCGAGTCTCGATTGGCCAAATTGCCCCTCGAGGGTTGAGGGCGGTACGACCTGAGGCGAAACCCGACAGTGTTGGGGACAGATACTTTTAAAAGTATCTAGATACAGATATAGATATATGGAAGATAAAAATATCTAGATACAGATTGTTTTCGATTTTTTCGAAATGTATCTAGATACAGATACAAGAAAACAGATACTTTTTGAAGCTTTGGCGAATAAAATAACTGAAAACATGTTTATGTATTTTTTTATGTATTGTTTAATGATTTTTCCAAAATTTAAAACATTTCGAACGTATTGTCACCTAAATTATTTCTTCTTGGTGTCAGAATTTGGTTTCCGCTACTAAACACCCGTTCCACAGGTGTAGAAGAAGGGATTGTGGTATTAAATTTAAAAAATAAACATTTTACTGTAGCATAGTTATTCAAGGCTGAAAAATCTTTTCTTTTTTCCTGCAAATACTTAGGCCATCGCTTCGCTGTTTGATGTGTTGCAAATTGTGCAATATTTATTACGTACGCTTAAAAAGAATTTTTTTTTTGTTTTTATTCCCATACTAGTGTCCAAATTGTGTTTGAGTATATCTAATAATTATCTCCAGCATTAAAATTAATATTTCAAAAGAATACGGGAAATGATTATTCTGTGCTGAAGGTCTGTTGTCGGCAACCTGTCATAAATGATTATTCTTCAATATCGGCTTACGATGTTTTTATGACGATGCCCGGTAATCGTCTATCGCGGTGCGGCAGGTATATTCATTTTAGGAAGAATAAGTACAATTTCTTAGAAAGGTATTTAAACCCCTTATAGGATTAAAGGCTGCCTGGCACGCCGGAACCACCAGAGTGCAACTTTATTTTCAGATTTTCCTTGAAACTCATTTTATTTTAATCTCGTCTCACCATTTCTGAGAATATATCACGATAAATTATTCTACCAAGGGTTGTAAAAATATTAATTTTATTGCCCAAGATAATTTACACTTAAACATAATCGGCACATTCTAGGGCAAAACGGATCTGCCAAGCTCGCCTCGCGTTAGATCCAACAATGAAAAAGTGAAGAAATGACACATGTGGCAACAGGAAAAGATGCTACATTTGTCTGAAAAATAAAGGTATAAAACAGTAACAAATATGCGATTTATGCGAGAGAAATGTATGTATTGAACATTCGATTAGTCGATTACAGAACTAATTTGTGCTAATTGAAAAAATTAATCATTATGTTACACGCAATTATTATTTTCTAAAAATAATAACATACCTTAAACAAATATTTTTAATATTAAAACTACTCTTATTTACTGGTATAACTCAACTAATAACTACTGAAAAAAAAACTGAAGTAAAAAAATGTATCTGTATCTGCGCCATTAATTTTGTATCTAGATACAGATATTTTGTGTTTAAATTCGATTTTGTCTAGATACAGATACTAGCTACCCAAAAATGTATCTAGATACTTTATTTAGATACAAGTATCTAGATACTGTCCAACACTGAAACCCGATATCGGTCGCGTTTGTATGAAGCGAAACAGAAATGAAACATCAAAATTGAGAAATGGGAAATGAGAAACTCAGAATGAGAAACTAAAAATTCGAAATGATAAATGCTAAATGAGAAATGGGAAAATGGGAAATGCGACAAAATTACGTGGGGCCAATTTTCCACACATAAATGACAAATAAATTGTTTATGTCAACATTCATTCTTTGATGAAAACTAACTATTAAAATTCCCGCGTCAAAGCATTCCAACAAAATGGCTGAAGGTCACTAAAATTGCCCAGCGAAAGATCAAAAGTACCGACACGAGTGTCGCTTCTTGTTCAAATTTTGTTAATCTTCTTTGACTTAACCACTTTGTCTTTCTTCACTCTGCTCTAGACCCCACTGTGACCAACATTCCACATTTGACTTAACGGAATGATTAGAATTTTCCAGTTGTTTGATTTTCTTCTTACTTATCCACACTTTTAAAGCAAACAGGATTTCCATTTTAAAAGCTTGCCAATATGTTATCTGAAATTTGTAGGTTTTTTGTCTGAAATTTTGGTTAGAACTATAATTTACATGTTCTTCAATAGAGGTTTGTCGTACTGTCCACAAAAATTCCATTAATCCTAAAAACAATGCCACTGCTACTCCCAGGCCTAACACTACAAAAATACCACCAACATTTTCCAATCTGAGTTCTGAACCCTCATGTGGTATCTAAAAATGTTATTGTTTGAGAAGTGTGCTTTTTATTAGAAGTACCCTAATTTTAAAATTTACCACACACACAGAACTTTCTTCTCGCCACCATTTATTTTTAAGGTCATTTAGCTCACCATTTTCTTGAAGTGCTAAGATGGCGTCATTAATTATAGTACGATAAGGACAATCTACAAATTAAAATTAACAAAATCAGCTAAGTAGTTTATTGATTTACCTAATGGCATGGCTATACCATATTCTATATTATTGAACCACTTATCGACAGTTGTCAATTCACAATTTCGCTCAACTAAATAATCAATTGTTGTCGACTCCATTAAAAATGCATAAGATCCATCTGGTGTATTCTGTACTCTCTGAACACCCTCGTGTGTAGTTTTTGCAAAGACACTTGGCAAATTCAAAATCATGTTAGCATACATTCTTCTGTAAGTACTATAATTTGATTGTTTGAAGAATTCTTGGGTGGATCCACCATCCAATGTACCGTATTTGATTTTATTCTGTTTCGCTAGATCTTCAAGATCGTCAATGACAGAACCTTTTGCCGTTAAAAATGCCGCGAGACTAGCTATGTAGGAGTTAGTCATGATAAGAGCAAAAAACCACCACATCGACGTTACAAGTCGAGATGATATACCCCTAAAAGGCAACAAATATATAGAGTTCAGCTCTCGTAATTTATTTAAGCAAATATTGCAAATTATCTAAACTTGTACTGATTGTACTTAGATTTTGACTGTAGCAGCATCTGAACAAATCAAATTGTATACATGCATTATGAATATGATGTAGATGGTCAAACGTCAACCAAAATTTGTGTATTCATCCCCACCAATAATGTGATGACGTCACTTCAAAATTGTACATAGTAAATGGGTTTCAAGTTGTATAAAATAACACTGTCCTGCACATATAGTTTATATCTCCATGTTGAGTTTTTACCCGAAACGTCCAGATTTTTGAAAAAAAAAAATTAAAATTATAAAACACCATTTTGCAGTTTAATTTTGAATCTGCAAAACCGAATGTATTGAAATATTGCAGATGTTTTAAAGTTATGATAAGCATAATAAACTTTTAATCAAAATATATTTCTTTATTCCCTCCAAGAAATTGATGACATCAGCTCAAAATTTTGCTGAATAACTTCTTTCTTAAATGTGCAAAAAAAGATGAGTCTATACTTGTGATTTATCACAATAATATTATTTTTTAGATTTGCTTATACGAGGTGTCTCAAAGAGATTAATGACTGAGTCAATTTATTTTATTAATTAAATCAAGAATTGCAAAATTGAATACTTTAAAGTCTTGTAGACGTTTTGAAGTTATCGTAAGCACGGTCAATTGTTAATCAAAATGCATCTGTTTATCAACTCCAAAGAAATTGATGACGTCATCTCAAAATTTTGCCGAATAAATTCTACCCAAAATATGCAAAATATGATGAGTCTATAATTGTGATTGATCATTGTATTAATATTTTTACTTCCCGAGCGCAAGCTAAGGAAATATAGTAATCGACCCTTTTCATGACCCCTACAGTACGAAAAAAAGTAGTCTCCCGTTTCCGTCTGTCTGTCTGTCTGTATCCATTTTTATTAGATACGTAATCTCCGAAACTGCTGGACCGATTAGTGTCAAATTTTGTATGTACATTAAAAATATCATGTAGATGATTAAATTTTGATAATCATTCCCATCACCAATTTGATGACGTAATTTCAAAGTATCCTATGTTTATTTGATTTTACTGTTATACAACTTTTTTTTGCTCTGGACAACATATTTTCTTTTGTTGTTCAGGAAGTAATACTAAAATCTTGCGCAAATCTGCGATAGATTTAATGTGTGATCTGTTCAACGGAGTGGCGAACTGTTGTGAAGCGTTGACTCCTTTGGCAGTTCAAAAAGTAAAATGTTAACGAAATATGCGATTAATTTATTTTATCATTGAGAATGGTATTAGTTTCTTTACTGTTATTTTCTTGAATTTTTTGTTAATTTATTGATTTTTTGTTGTTCCCTGTAATTGGGTCCTCAATAACCTGTGGGGAATAAATTAATATTATTATTATTATTAATATTATTATTATACAACAATATATTCCTATACGTATTGTCTACGTTTCCGCTTTGAATTCTTCCCTAATCGTTCAAATTTTTGCAAAAACATAATACACAGTATACTAATACCAGTTTAAAGTATCGGTCGTGGTGTATCGGAGAAGTGTGTCGAGCGCGGATCGAAGCCCTTATTACTTTTTTTTTCAAGGACTTGTTTATACACCGGAAGAAAGTTGGTTTATTACTGCTGAGAGGTTATGTGCTTGAAACATATTTTACATTGTCCGTAGGTACTTGTGCAATTTGCGCTTCCACGGTGCGGGGGCTGTGAGAGTGTTATATATGCTACCGGTTTTTATTTTTTAGAGGTTATCTTAAAACAAGCATAGCAAAATCTAATTTTATAATTTTTAAGAAGCGGGAGATAATAAATTTCGATCAATTTTTTAAATTTCCATGAATAGATTAATTTATTTTATTGAATAAATCAAGAACAGTTCACTCTATTTTTTCGAAAATTTGGGGGGGATATAATACGTTATTATGAGTATTACTGCACCAATCTAAGTTGAAATACGTGTTCTAGCAAAAATGATGATTGACGTCATCACAAAATTTTGTAAAGTAAAAACGTAGGCTTCTTTGCATTTACTTTAATATTACATATTTACATATGTTTATTTCAACTTATAGCGGTTCTTATCAAAAATATAAAATTCGCAAAATCAAATTTTATAATTTTTTGAAAATACTGGATATATTACATTGTGTTTAAGAAGCGAGGGAAATTGTATCGAAACAACTTGCGCCCAATTTTTTAGATTTGCTTAAACAGGTGTACCAAAAAAATTAATGAATGGCTCAATTTATTTTATTGATTAAGTTAGGAACGGCTCACGCCATTTTCCTGGAAAATTTTGTAAATACTAAATACAAACTGTTATTTTTACTATTACACTGCACCAATCCAAATTGACATACGTCTCCTTGCAAAAATGTTGATGAGGTCATCACAAAATAGTGTAAAGGGAAAACTCAACTCGAAAATGCTGGACATGTTTCATTTTAGGTGCGAAGGAAGTTCTGTTGAAACAACTTTCGACAATTTTTTTTAACTTATAAATGCGTTAAAAAATTAAAATTCGCAAAATCAAATCTTATAATTTTTCGAAACATCTAGATCTGATGTACTGTAGGTACTCTATGAGCGAGGAAAGTTGGTATAAAATATCAAAGATGGTTTTGGAATTGAGAAATTTGTGAAATTCTCGTGAATAACCAGGTACCTATACCCTCAAATTTTGTAACAAATTGCGTGATCCTAGTCATTGTTGTTAATTTTAAGGATAAGTCTCTGCTAGATTAATTTTTAATTTGAAGGGAAAGCATAGACTAAAACAAATAGGTACTTGGGCAAGATATCGCTGCCTTGATTCATTATGGAACCCATCGTTAACCATAAACAGTTGCTAATACTCCAGAGATTTTCAAGTTCATCCGGGTTTAAATTGCAGGGATGAGGATTCTCCCAGTCACCAGGTGCCATTCTGAAATTAATTTTTACAAATGTAAGTTACCATATAATTAGTTATTACCTAATTATACCTTGCCACAAAATATAAAATTACCGAAACGGTAAGGTATAATGTTACTGTATACATCCAAACCTCTGCAGAGAGTGGATTGAGAAAAGCAAACATACTAACGGTTGTTTTGGGTTTTTGCAGTAAAATTCCAATACCTTCAACAAAAATACCTAGTGAAAATTTTCTTAAAATAAGAATTTCATGGGCAGAGTCAATAACAGTAAGACATCCGGATTTGGTTTGTGCCAAATTTGAAAAAGGTTTCGACGTTTCACCCACCTTTGTTAGCGTATCTTTAGGAAATGACGAATACGATGAAGAGAGAAGAAAAGGCAGACATTTACCTTCGGTGCAGCTCGATGCTTTTCTGGTTCATCATCGTGAAGATGCCTATTACGAAAGCGGGCGTTAAAATTCAAGACTGTCCAAACCCAGACATCTTATTGTTATCAGTAGTCAGTAGTCAAGCCCATTAAAACTATACAGGGTTATTCAGCTAAGATAACCCATTTGTGTTTTTAAAATAGGCAACCCATAATACCGATTCCACTTGATCCTGGATTACAAAAGATGCTTCAAAATTGGATTGTATCAAAGTTTGCTTATAAGTGTATAGAAACGTCAGTTTCAGAAAAATGCGTATGCATCCTTACGATAATAACGAGAAAACCGACATGATTCTTATTTACCGAGAATGTCGCAAAAATGCAGCACAATTGTATGTCCGAAGATACCCTGACCGTGTGGCCCCAACACCCAAAATTTTCAAGAGGCTAGAAAATGCCTTGCGTAGCAAGTGACCTGCTAACAAGAGGAAAATGAACCAGACTGCGACTAGCTTGGCAAATTGAGTAGAACTTCTTGCGCACGTTAATGAAAATCCTCATATGGGACAACCAATTGCTATTGCTAGACAAGCAGGAATTAGCCAGTCTGCAGAATTTTAAAAATAAATAAATTTCACCCCTACCGTCTGCAGCTGGTGCATGAAATTCGACCCACAGACCATCGTTTTTGTGTCATTCTCCATAACGTGTCCATAGCTAAGGATTATGTCTGTTTTCTCGTTATTGAATGCATAGGCGTTTTTCTGACACTGACGTTAACTGACGTTTCTAATCATTTAGCAAACTTTGATACGATTTAATTTTGAAACATTTTTTGTAATCCAGGTTCAAGTGGAATCGGTATTTTGGGTTGCCTATTTTAAAAACATAAATGGGTCATCTTAGCTGAATAACCCTATATAAATATAATTTATTTTATAAAAGTGCGGATAAAATTATGCAACTCATAATACACATTTTTATGCTAACTTGTCCACTCGTTTAAAAACTATACTATAGAACACATTTATTCCCTCTAAAACATATTATATCTCTAATCAAGTTTTTCGACGTTTTAAAGACGACGGTACGTCAGAACAAAATAATAAGAAAAAATTGGACAAAGGTTATTTCTATAGAACTTCCCTGGCCCCTGAATTAAAATAAAACATCCAGCTTTTTAAATTAATAATGTTATTTAAATTAATTTAATTTTACGAATTTTATTTTTTATGAGAACCCCTATAAGTTAATATAAAAATATATACATATATAAATGTTAAGAAAAAAATTTTAAATGAGTTTAATTTTAACAAAATTTTATCATCATCTTCATTTTTACAAGGACAGGTATAACAATTTTGATAGGTGCACTGGAAATAATTGCAGTCTTTTAGATCCAAATTTTTAGGAAAACGGAGTGATCAGTTCCTCATGTAATTAATAAAATAATAGACTCATTTATCAATTTATAATTAATAACTCTTAATGTTTATTTTATTTGATACAACTACTGTAACTTTTTTATTCTGAAAGATAAATATTATTGTTCTTTTAGCAAATTTGTACCATCACATAGATCTTTTAAAATGATACAAATTTGCTAAAAGAACTATATGTTTATCTTTAAAAATAAAAACGTTACAGGGGTTGTATCAAATAAAAGAAACAAGTGGTAGACTTATTATATCTTGCACATTTTAGATAGGATTTATTGGACACAATCTTAAGATGACGTCATCAATTTTTGTGGGTTGTTGAACAGACACATTTTGACTAAAAGTTCACCATGTTTACGATAAGTTAAAACATTTGCAAGAATTCAAAGTCAAAGCATTCGGTTTTGCAGTTACGGATTTATAAATTACAATAAATTGACCGATTCATTAAGGTTTTTGATTCACCCTTATAACCAATTCTAAAAATGTGAATGCAGTGATAATCATAAGTATACTGATCAAATTTGGCCATTTTAGATAGGTTTTATTTGGCAACATTTTTGATAACATCATTAGAGAGCGGATTTATAAACACAAAAAAATTAAGAATAAGCGCTTAAATAAGCACAACATTTTCAATAAAAAAGTTTTATTTTAAGCAAAAAAGCATTAAAAACATAATCATATCGCACTGTGAGAGCAATACTCACGTAACTCAAAACCAGCGTGTTTTGAGTAATGGTGATTTAAAATTCCCAAGTTCGTATATATTATTTGTATCTTAAATACCAACGGTTTCGAAATACATTATAGTCGTATTGTCAATCTACTATTAATCGTGTTTTTATTCCTTTAGAGTAGAACCTTCTACTCGTTATAGAAAACAAGAAATTTTGACTTACGTGACTATTGCACTGCTACATCATATCAAATATTTTGGCTTGCGTGTTAATAAATTTAAGACAAGAGCAAACTAGCAACACATTGTAATGAAAAAAATATAACAAAACACAAAACGATCACAGTATTAATTCATTTAACATCTACACTGACGGGCAAAAAAAACCGGCCACCCTGAAAAATTTCGCAAACCACTTTAAAACTTAATTTAAATAGTGATCGTTATTTTATTAAAGAATCATTCACTATTGACACATGTTGTACAAATTAGCACAAAAAAGAAGACAATTAAACGCCGAATTAAATTTAATTTAACGAAATAACAGAAACAGACCAAGTACGATATTTTCTTAAAAAAAAAACAATAAAGGAGGCTGTTGTTGTAAATAGTGTTTTTCATCATTTTGTGGGTATTGTTGGTGATTTAAAAGCGACGGTACGGTTTTCAGTTTATATTTTGTTCTTTACTGTTCGAGAGTGCGAGGAAGAAGAAGGAAGGGTGTTTAAAATGGTACATAGGTAAGCTCGGTTTCGAAGAGGTGGAAGTAGGTAAAAACGGAGTTTAGAAAATTCTAGAAGGGAAAAGAGAAAGTATGTAGGAGCGTAGGGCAGGTAGACGAAGGATAGGAAGTATTTACATTTTTACAATTATTTGAATACGCTCAGGTAGAACACCTGATTTTGTGGGAACGGTTGTTCCTACAGTACCCCCCTGCTAGTGTTTTTTTTTTTTTTTTTATGAAAAACCGCTTTGCAGGCGCTCCGGGAAGCGCACCCGTCTTCCTGACCTCGTGGTTCTCGCTGTTGTGGAAGCTGGCATCTCGTCGTCGTCGTGGGGTTGATCTGCGAAGGGCGCTGGTTCGTCTGTTGTGGGCGTCGTCCTCGTAGTGTCGCGGCCAAACCATGACGTGGGCGTGTCGTCGTTGAGTATGTACGCGGGTTTGAGCCGATCTATTGAAACGGTGACATCTCGACCCTTGATGTTGACGACGAACGTTTTCGCCGATCGCCTGACGACTCTGAACGGACCGTCGTATGGCTGTTGAAGCGGCTGCTTGGGACCGTCGTGGCGTACAAAAACTTGTTCGGACGTGGCGAGATCTTTAAAAATGAAGGTCTTCTTTGTTCCATGGCGTGTTCCCTCACATGGCTTCAAGTTACGCACGTGTTGACGTAACTCTTTGACGAAGTTTGCGGTGCTGTTGTCTGCGCTGTTTTCGTCGCGTGGGATGCCTAGGAATTCACCGGGCAGGCGGAGAGGTTGGCCATATACGAGCTCCGCGGAGGAACCCTGGAAGTCTTCTTTCCATGCCGCTCGAATGCCGAGCATGACGGTGGATAGGGCTTCAGTCCAGCGATTATTCTGGTGGCACATGATTGCCGCTTTTAACTGTCGGTGTAGGCGTTCAACCATTCCGTTGGCTGAGGGGTGGTAGGCTGTAGTTCTCAAATGAGTGGTTCCTAATAAACAATTTAGTTGTTTAAATAGGTACGACTCGAATTGTCTACCTTGGTCGGTGGTTACTCGTAGCGGGGTGCCGAATCGTGCGATCCATGTGTCGTAAAAAGCTCGTGCCACGGTTGCTGCTTCCTGGTCGCTAATGGGTACGGCTTCTGGCCAGCGGGTGTACCGATCTACCATGGTAAGGCAGTAACGATAACCCTCTGAGTGTGGCATAATTACTATGTCCAAGTGCACGTGCTCAAACCTCGCTGATGGTGGCGAGAATGTACCGATGGGCGAAGAGACATGGCGTGACATTTTCGAACGTTGACACTCTACGCAGTTGCGGGCCCATTCTCGACAATCTGATTTGACCGATGGCCAGACGTAACGTTGCGTCACCAGTTTTACGGTGGCTTTAACGCCTGGATGGGATAGACGATGAATCGACTCGAATGCAGCTCGGCGAAATGACTCGGTGACGTAAGGACGCGCTGTTCGCGTGGAGACGTCGCAGAGTACCGATACGTCGCAGCCTGGGATTCGTACCAGTTTGAGCTGCAGGCCTGTATTACCTGTTCGAAATCTCTCGAGTTCCTCATCCTGCTGTTGTGCTGCTGCCAGAGCTTGGAAATCAATCGAGGTTTCCACAGCCTCGATACGAGAAAGAGTATCTGCGACAACATTTTCGTTCCCTGCTATGTGGCGAATGTCAGTCGTGAATTGACTGATGAAGTCCAGGTGTCGTATTTGGCGGGGCGAGGACTCGGTATTCTTCTTCTGAAAGGCATACGTGATTGGCTTGTGGTCTGTGTAGATGGTGAAAGACCGCGCCTCTACCATATGCCTAAAATGTTTAACTGCGAGATAAATGGCTAGTAGTTCTCGATCATAAGCCCCGTAGTTTGACTCGGTGGGACTCAGTTTTTTGGAAAAGAAGTCCAACGGTTGCCAGTGACCGTCAACCTTCTGCTGGAGGACTGCTCCGACGGCGAAATCTGACGCGTCCAAAAAAATAGCCAATGGTGCGTTTGGCTCGGGATGTG